TTTAACCTTTTTTTCCTCTCTTATCCTTAGATTGGAGCTTCAATTTGCAAATCCAGTGCTTTTTTGTTTATTTCAGATATTGTATTTTTCTGTTTTAGAATTTCCATTTTTAATAGGTTCTATTCTTCTGCTGAGATTTCCTATTTTTTTATTCTTTACAAGCTTTTTTCTTTTTCTTTATATCCTTATAATAGCTGCTTTAAATCTTCATCTGCTAATTGTAACATCTGGACCATCTCAGGATCAGTTATGTTATCTCTTGAATATAGGTCATGTTTTCCTGTTTCTTCATGGTCTAGTAATTTTTTGTTATGATATGGACAGTTGAAATGACCTATTATAGAGACTGTGGATTCTGTTATATTTTTCCAAAGAGTATTGATTTTCATTTGTTTTATTAGACAGATAACTTGACTAAACTCAAACTTCAAAGTCTGTCTTCTCTGTGATAAATGGCAGTTGAAGTCTCTGTCTAGATATTTTTAGGCTTAAATGGGCTTCTTGGAGTCTGTCTCACTTACATGTATGTATAGATGAGGGGTCAGCCAGAGATTTGGGCCCAGTTTTTATCCAGAATTTAGGGCTCTTCCTCTGTGTCTCCTTTCTGAGATTTCCCCCTTCATTTTCCGACTGCTACAGTTGCATCAAACTCTGTTTTATAGTTTTTCAAGCCTGTGAATCTGAGCATTTCTATCTGACTTTTAGCTGTCATTGAAAAATACCAACTATTACCTCTCCTCAGGCAAAATAAAATAAAATAAAATAAAAAGCTGTAAAAATAGAAAACTTACCAAATGACATTTTCTCCTTCCTAGTGTCAAGTGTCAACTCTCGTTCAGTTTCTGCCTGCTTTTTTTTTTTGGGGGGGGGGGGGTGGTCTCATGTTTTGTTAAGAATTTATAGTTATTATTCAATTGAAGATTTGGCATGATAGGATCTCCCCTGACATTACAGGAAACAACCTCCGTGTCGTCTTTTCTTAATCTGGCTTTCAGAACCTTAGGCCTGTTTTGGTCCTGAACTATTTTCCCATCCTTATTTTCCATTATTCTTCCCTATGTAGCCATGTCTCAACTAAGGTGATTTAGAACGTTTTATATATTCATACCTTACCTCTTTGCTCTCATTGTTCTCTTCATAATATATCCCACACTTCCCGTCTGCTGAAATCTTTGCCACTTTTCAGTGAAGCCTTTCCTAATCAATTTTGCCCATCCTGACCTAATAGGGATTTATTATCTATACCACTCATTGGATATCTAATCCTATACTGCCTTGTGATGTCATTTTTCTTGTAATCACTCAGCTGAAAATATGGTGCATGTCATTTCCATCTAACTAGATTGTACTCTCCTTGAGGCCAGGAACCTTCCATTGTTATTCTGTTTCTCTACTACAGGCTCTAACTCAATCTTTAGTTCAATAAATATTCTGTTTAATGAGTTTGTGAATGAGTGAAGGAGTCATTGCCATGTTAATATTCATGTAAAGTGCTTAGAAAATGTTCCGGCACATATTAAACACTACTACATGTTTTCTGATGTTATTATTATCTGAAATCAATCTAGTATGACTAGCTGATCCTGACTATTCCTCTCACTTCACCCTTTGATTATTATTTTTATTCTTAGACTCAAAGACTTGAAGGATCTTAGAAGTGGAAAATATTTAAGGTTGTCTGATAAGACTTCTTTATCTTACAGATTTGTTAGCTAAGCCTAGAGATGTACTCTATTCCCATGCAATTCTTACTGCTTTTCTTAGGTGCCCAAGCTCAGAGTCTGTTCCTACTCATGTGGTAGGAAAGACCACAACATGTGATCTAGTAGATCCCTGGGCTTGAGCAGATTCAAGGCTCTCTGGTCCATCTCACTGTAAGAGTGGTTCTTAACCAACGGTCAGTTTTTTCCCCCAGGAACATTTGACAATGTCTGGAGACATCACTTTTTTTTTTTTTTTTTTTTGGTGTCTGGATGGTACAGAGATCTGAACCCTTGATCTTGGTATTACCAGCACCACACTCCACCAAGTGAGCTAACCTGCCGCCCATGGAGACATTTTTGATTGTCTTGGGCAGGTTCTATTGGCTTCTAATCAGTAGAGGCCAGAGATGCTGCTGCTCATCTGATAATGCAAAGGATAGCTGTAATACAAAGAATTATTTGGTCTGAGATATTCATAGTGCTGAAGATTGAGAAACCCTGTGTTATAGGTAGTCTCTGAATTTTATTTAACCTTCATTACAGGAGATGCACCTGCTTCCCTGATTAACAGGTTCTGTTGTCACAGAAAAAGTTCTTATACGAGATTTATTCTTTTATATTTCTTCTCTTTATTTATATTTTCCTTGTTTGAAAAGAAATTTTTTTTTTTTTTTAAAGATGACCGGTAGGGGGATCTTAACCTTTGACTTGGTGTTGTCAGCACCACACTCTCCCAAGTGAGCTAACCGGCCATCCCTATAATAGGGATCCGAACCCGTGGCCTTGGTGTTATCAGCACCACACTCTCTCAAGTGAGCCACAGGCTGGCCCTGAAAAGAAAATTTAAATAGTTAAAATATGTAGGAAAAATAAGTTTTGCATAACAGTTTTCCTCATATACACACCCTTTAAAATGGTTTGGGGTAAATTGGAAAAATGATTTGGAGAGAGTTATTATAGAAGTAAGCAAAGGCTTGGAATTGTAGTTGCACAACCAGCTCTTTCAGTTTTATATATAAAGTTCCCTGATGACTGTCAAGGTAGAAAAGGGGTTAAATGAAAGAAGCTGGTTGCTTATCACAGCTGGAATGGGAGACAAGGGCAGAGTGGCAGCCCTCATTCCACCTTATCTATCTCTCTGCCCCAAGTCCAAGGCTACAAGTACACAATGATGACTGCTCCTGGTCGAACATTGTCAGGAACAGAGGCTTATGGAGAGTTCAGTGCAGTTCCTCCTCTAGCAAGAAATACCAGAGTATCCATGTTTCAAAGTTGCCTGAAGGAAAGTGCAAATGTCCCAGTCTGCAGTTTAGCAGAAAATCCCAGATGTATTGGCTGCTTTTTCATGAGTTTGCAGATCATCATTTTCTTTCTCCTTACTAGTTCTGTTGCCTTCTCTCAGTGGCAGTCACATGGTGACATCTTGCTCCAGAAACTATTTTAATCCTTACTTAATGTTTATATTCTAAAAGTGGTTCTTTTTTGAATGACTAAGAGCTTCAAGGTTCAAGATCACAATCACCTTTAGCACTGACTCCTGTGTGACTTAGGTGCTTATGCAAATAAATACAAGTGGCCAACTTAAATTTTCTTTACATCTAGTCTGTCTTGCCATTCTTTTTAGCAAAAAAGTAAGAGTAACTGAGCCTACTCTAACTTTTCTGCATGTATTTATAATGTATTTAAGATTTCTTTGTAAAACCAAGGTCAAGGGTTTGGATCCCCTTACCAACCAGCTGCCAAAAAAAAAAAAAAAAAAATTAAAAAAGGGAAAAAATAAAGGAAAAAAAAGTAAAGATTTTTCTTAGATGAGTCAATAGAAGTAGTATTTCTAGCTTTTTCTCAAATTGTATAACCAAGATTTTCAAACATTTCTCATCTTTTAGTTGGGCCTAATAAAATTTTCTATATGACTTTTCAGATGCAAGAAAGAATTCTGTTGCCAAAACATATCCTGAATACCACATTGAATGGAGGTGATGTGCCTTGAAATCTAGCCCGTCTGAGAGAAGAGTTATAGTGTGTATTCTGTAGGGCAGTCAGTTCATTGTGCTTAGAACATGTTCAATGGTCAACAGTAACCTGAAGGAAGGGAAATTTTAAATGGCCTCCATTGATTGGATAAGTAAACAAACAAAATGAATTTTAATCGAGATGAAAATAGACTCAGTAAATGAATGAGAACCTTTGCAGACACAAGTCAGGATTTTGTCCTAGGAGGGCAAAAAATACATGTCTGGGATTATGGCTGATAAAGTTAAATGAGAGTTAAATATTTTGAATACAGAATAACTTTTTAAAGCTAGCGTGACACTACAACTACCACTGCTACTAATAGCTAACTTGCATTGAATACTTGCCTTGAACCAACATTGATCTAGGCCCTTTACATTACTCATTTACCCAGGAGATACAAACAGGATCATAGGAAACACAAGGTAATCTTTCCTCCACGAGGTCAACTGAACACCAGGCAGGAGTATAGTGTGGGACCCATCCTACCAGCTCAGGTGCCAGGCTCCTTGCAGCTTTACCTGTGGTAATGTTTTTACCTCTTGTAATATTCCAGTCGCAGTGTTTGCTGAGCCTTGAGGGAACAGGAGCTATTTCTTAGAATATAAATAGATACTTCTGGGCTGGCCGGTTAGCTGAGTTGGTTAGAGTACAGTGCTGATAACACCAAGGTCAAGGGTTCAGATCCCCATACCTGTCAGCCAACCCTCCCCCCAAAAAAGATACTTTTTAGTGTTACAAATACATACATTTTTTTCTTTATTTGAAGCAAAAACATTTAAACTAGAATTGTTTTAATAACACTTATTGGAGCCCACATATATGCATAGGAAAAAGTTACAAAAATGCTGCTCTTGGAGCCGGCCCGTGGCTCACTTGGGAGAGTGTGGTGCTGGTAACACCAAGGCCACGGGTTCGGATCCCTATATAGGGATGGCCAGTTAGCTTACTTGGGAGAGCGTGGTGCTGACAACACCAACTCAAGGGTTAAGATCACCTTACTGGTCATCTTTTTAAAAATAAAAAAATGCTGCTCTTTTGGCAGGAAAAATTAACGTTATTTCAATATACACTTTTCTAATTTGAACTCACATGTTGAATTTAGAGAACAGGAATTGTATTTTAGTGCATTTAGATGAAGCTGTCAAACATTGTCATGTCTGTAGAACAGATTTTTTAAATCTTTTAGTGCTCTAAATCAGTGTCAGTAAGATAATTTTAATATTATATCGTGAGCAAAAAATCATGTGTACAAATAACAAAAATTATTTTCCTGGTTTTTAGATGTGTGGTTTTTAACAACAGAGGAGTGGCGGGGGAGAATCTCTTGGTAAGTAAATTTAAATGTCAATGGTCTTAATTTTTCAAAGAATCATTTCCAGTTTTATAACAAAAACAAGCATATTCTTTTTATTTAAAAAACTTTTGTTTATGTAAGCAATACAAGTTTATTGTAGAAAAATACAGATAAGCAAAAAAAAAAAAAAAAAAGGAAATTTACAAGACCCATAATTACACAGTTGGGGAAATCCCCTTAGTCTATGTTCATTCAGATCTTATATGTAAATAAAATATATGTAATATATTTCTATTTTTATAATAATTAAGATTCTATTTTATAAATTAACTTACTTATATTTTATTTATATAATAAATATATTTTAACATCAATATACTTACCTATATCATTTTTCCTTATGACTTTTTTTTGGCAGCTGGCCAGTACAGGGATTGAACCCTATACCTTCCTGTTATCAGCACCGTGCTCTAACCAACTGGCGTAACCGGCCAGCCCTAGTCTACATCATTTTTAATGCACATTTTCTTTAAAAGTTAACTAGTGGGCCGGCCCAGTGGCGCACTGCTACAGTGCGCCGCTTGGGAGCGCAGCGGCGCTCCTGCCAAGTGTTCGGATCCCACATACAGACCGGTTCCCGCTCACTGGCTGAGCGAGGTGTGGGAGCAGCACCGAGGGTTCGTAGCTCCGAGGGTTGCAATTCTGTTGCCGGTCCTGGTCCGGTACGGGCGCAACACTGAGGGTTGCAATCCGTTGCCGGACACGAAAAAAGACAAAAAGGAAAAAAAAAAAAAGTTAACTAGTATAAAACAAATTAACTAGTGATGTTTTTTTTTTCCACTTATGAAAAGAAATTTACTTTTATCTTGAAACAGATTAACTGTGTGTATTTTTTATGCTTATTTGCCTGCCAAAGTTTACATAGAGGAAATGTTATTTAAACTTTTTAAATTTAAATTGGGGTTCTTTTTTTTTTTTTAACTCCTAGCTTTTGCTAGGATAGAAGTTCTTCCATCTCTTAGAAAATCATCATTCTATCTGATGTTTAAACCTGTGAACTGGAATGAGAAATACTACAAATGCTGAAATTTCCTTGAAGCTTTTTAACTTTTAGTCCTTCACCATTTCAACAGGTCAAAGGCAATTCTACCAGAATTGAAGAAAACTTTTTTTTTGAGTCACTGATAGAGAATGACATTAAGATTATACATAATTATGTCATGCTGGAAATCAAAATTTATAGTCATGTCACAAATGTCAGCACTTTATGAGAACTTGGGAATAAAGGAGCTCTTGCTCTTGCTTTACAGTGATTTAGGCGGTGGAAGGAGTCAAAATCAATACGATTTCAAAAGCAAAAGTTATAAAATGTTTATGGCTTTACTCAAATGCCTCATAATAAATAGTTAGATATGGAAGTTCACTTTTCCTTATTTATTCCAGCCCTTTAGGAATCTTGTTGACAGATAGTAGTCTAAAAGGAAAGACTTGAATTTGTCACTGTGGCCTGGGCCCAAGGAAGTCATTTTGAGCAGCTCTTGTCTGCTGTGCATTCTTCTAGGTGCTTCCAGGACACAAAGATGGGGAAGACATGGTCTGAGGCTCTCAAGGAAATATTAGGCTGCAAAGCAGAGTTTGTTAGGTCTCATAAAGTGAGGAACAGAGATCTGTTCATTCAGCAAAGCTGTGGTTGTGCCTATTATATCAGCACTGTGCAAGACAATAGGGCAGGTTGTCTACACATTAATGAGAAACAACCCTAGTCCTTAGGAGGTCATACTTGAGTTGTGGGAGAGAGTCAAGTACATAAAAATACACCCAATACAGTGCTAAGTGTAACCATAGAAAGATTTCTTAAGGTTATAAAGCACAAAGGGCAGGAGTAACTAACTGTGTGGGGCAGGTGGGAGAACTTCATAGCGGAGGTAACATTTGAGTTGGATCTTGAAGGATGTGGTTTTGGACCTCCAGAAAAGGAGATAGAAGGGCTCTCTCAGCCTAAAGAGCAAGGTATTAGACAGCGTGGAATAGCAACTACTTACGTGCGGCTAGATAATGGTGATGATAATTTTATATTTATTGAGTACTTACAACGTATCAGTTGTGTCTTTTCATACTTAATGCTAAGCAATAGAGACAACTAAATGATTTAGGTAAGTATAGCCACCATCATCCCCATTTTCATGAGACACAAGTAAGAACTTACCCCAGCCAAGAAATGGCTGACTTAGACCACTCAGGTGGTCTGACTGTGTAATTGTGTCCTTGACCATTATGCTATATGCCCTCTTACCATTCAGGAAGTTCTAGAGGGCTAGATTTCTTCCAAAAGGGTAGGGACAGATTTTGAAGAATTGTGTAGAATCCTGAGAACCTATTATCGAGCCACTGACATTTTGAAGCAGGGGCATAATTTGATCATGTTTATGTTTTAGAAAGAAAACATGGCAGTGGTGTGCAGAAAAGAGTTGGAGGGAGAGGAAGCTGGAGGCTGGAGACCAGTTAGAAAGTGATTACTACAAACCTACCCAGAGTTTGGAGTTTGAAAGCAAATGTAGCGGGGATAAAGAACAGAGAATAAAAATCAGTGGTAGTCATGGGGCAGAAAGAACAGTGTATTGTAAGAAGTGAAGAGAGGGGAGTCAAGTAACATTTGTAGCTTGGCTGGCTCATAAAAGGTGGTAATATTTGCTGAAATAGGAAATTTAGGAGAATTTACAAGATTTTGGTGTGATAAAGATAAATTCTGTTTTAGATGTTTAGGGTGTTTAAGATTTTCCAGGTGGAAATTTCTAGTAAACAGTTGAATATACTGGACTGGCCTCAGGAAAGATGTGCAGGCTATAGAGAGAGACTAGAGTTATCAGTGCACAGGTAGAAGTGGGCACCAAGGAGTGGCTGAGATTACTTAGGGAGAATTTGTAGAGTAAAAGGGGAGAGGTCTATGGATAGAAATTTAGAAAACAACAAACAGGAAGGGAGAAAAGGAGGAGGATACTTAAAAAACAGTTTATCCGGGCCGGCCCGGTGGCGCACTGGATAGTGCGCCCCTTGGGAAGCGCGGCGGCGCTCCCGCCCGAGGGTTCGGATCCCACATACAGACCGGTTCCCGCTCACTGGCTGAGCGAGGCGCGGGAGCAACGCCGAGGGTTGCAATCCCGTTGCCGGTCCCCGGTCCGGTACGGGGGCAACACTGAGGGTTGCGATCCGTTGCCGGACACGGAAAAAGACAAAAAAAAAAAAACAGTTTATCCTTAGCATTTGAAGTTGATTGGAAATTTACTTTGAAAGAATACGGCAATCCAGTAATTTTCACTCGTACACTTTAATTGGATTTTTGAAAAATCTCCAAGAACACTGAATGCTTACGAAGGGATAGTATATAAACTTTCTCTTTTCTTTTTCGTTTTTCTTTTTTTTTTAAGAATTCATTGAGTTCTATGCAAGAGGATAGAATAGCTTGGTATCTGCATTTTTACAATGTGTGGGTTAAATTCTGATGAACTGTTACCCCCATCTCATATCTATATCAAAAAGGCTAATGCAAACTAGGCTATTGAGCTACAGTCTGGCAAGCAGCTTGGGTGTCTATAGGAGAAAGTAGCTCGGATTCAGTAGGGAGCCCAAAATTCAAGCTCTTTCTTACCACTAACCAGCCAAGTGACAGAGGACAAGTCAAATAACCTTTCTGTGGCTCATTTTCTTATCTGGAAAATGATAATCATGTACACATGCCACCTCACAAGGATGTTTGAAGTTCATATGGAATAATGAATATGAAAATATCTTGTAAAATAAAGCTTTTTATAATCCAAGGCATAATTGCTATTATATTAGCTCATTAGAACAAGAATACAACAAGTATATTTTACTTATAATTAGTTTGCTCCCTTAAATTTTTTTTTAATAGTTGTTATAAAAGGATGTAATTATAATTACATTTTACATCCTTTTATAACAACTATTATACATTATACATGCTTCTTTTTTTCTTAAGTTGGATCACAAAAATTAGATGCCAATATTGATTAGAGCTAACATTGATATTTGTTCCCACGATAATTCTTCTTTCTGTCTTAGAGCTATGAACAATTACTGTTTCAGACTAGAGGAACTCTTATGTGTATTTATACCTCACCTTGTTCCAGAAACGATTTAATGTGGCTCCAACGCAGAGTAAATAAGACCTTAGGGTTGGCATAAAAAGGAACAAAAGATGAATCAGCAAAGATCAGACAGGAAGGAACTGTCTCTATCTGAAATTAACCTAAAAGAGCTAGCAAAGGTGAAATGGGGTTGGCCTGTGGCTCACTTGGGAGAGTGCGGTGCTGATAACATCAAGACCATGGGTTTGGATCCCTATATAGGGATGGCCGGTTAGCTCACTTGGGAGAGCGTGGGGCTGACAACACCAAGTCAAGGGTTAAGATCCCCTTACCGGTCATCTTTTTTTTTTTAAAGGTGAAATGGAATTTAGGGTAAGCAGTTCTCCTAGGAGTGGAAGAAGTGCAGAAGTAGAGAGTTTGTTGAAATATGTTGGAGATGTACTTAGAATTTCTAGGGATTACTATGACTCCTACAAAGGAGAATAAGGAAGTAGAAATTTTTTACCATCATATTGCCCTCATTTCTAATTAGTCATTGCAGGATTGAGGGAGAGCCAAAGGCCTTTCTCACTAGGACATGAGAAAGCCTGAACCTTGGCTTCCTGGAGCTATTTGCTGTAGGAGACAGGTAGCCCCACCCTCTGTAGACTGAACCTCAGATATTCCTGCAGGGTTCTGAGAGCCCTCAGAGTAGATGGGATCTTTTCTTATGCCTGAAGATTGGTTTTCAAGGATAAGAATCCAGAATCCAAGTTATCCACAAACTCACTAATATTATTCATTACTTCATAAACTTAGTTTAGGAATGATAATTTACAAAGAACTCAGCTAAAATTGAGTTTGTTGAAAGCTACATTATTTTTGGTTATAGGGTTGTACCAATTTCTGTGTCCCTAGGCTCAACAAGAAAAACCTCTTAGCCACTTT